ATATATTTATATATATATTTTTTTTTCCAAACGTTCTAGTGATACATTTTTGATGATTTTAAACTTAATTTACTGTAAAAAAGACTCGTTTAAGTTAATTTTTGTCTCTGACAATACTTCTTATAATCATAAGCAGACGACGCTTCTCTCACTCTCACATTCGCTTCTTTCACTATCACATCCGGTTTCACAACATCATGGCAGAGCCAATCATGGATCAGTCGGCATTGGCCCATCTCTCCATATAGGATCTCTAACCTAGGTCTCTAAAGCCTTGTGTCCACGATGCTAGAAATCGGTCCGAGATCTCGGATGAAGAAAGAATTAACAAATCACATTTGAACAATTTGGTCACATGACCAATGTAATTGGTCAATTTTTCCTTCATCCGAGATCTCGGATCGATTTCTAGTATCGTGGACACAAGGCTTAAGGGCCTCATCCGCCTCATTCACCAATTCGAGTCAGTCGTCAAAACTAAATGATAAATGCGATTGGTCAATTCCAATGGATTAATCGTCGATTAAGTTAATCGGCGTTGGTGAAAGAGGCCCTAATGCTCATTTCCACCAATGCAGATTAACTTTATAATCTCGGTTCAATTTGCTCTTCGTCTTCTTCTAATTCTAAAAATTAGAAAAAGATTAACAGTAGGTTAAACCGAGATTAAAGTTAATCTGCATTGATGGAAACAGGCATTAATTGACGATTAGTCCATTGGAATTGACTTTGGCTGTATTAACAGTAGGTTAAACCGAGATTAAAGTTAATCTGCATTGATGGAAACAGGCATTAATTGACGATTAGTCCATTGGAATTGACTTTGTTGGTAGCAAAGATCTGTGGCGACGCCGTGTGGCAAAGCGAAAGTTGGGAACAACAAAGGTAGCAGGATTGAGGACATTGGCCTAGTTTACACCTAACGACCTGACCTATACCCTAACCTATACCCCACCTAAGAAAGGTCTCGTATGGAGCGTTTACCGCATATAGACCTATAATATTTTTGGGCCTAATGTAGGTCGCATTTAGTCTCACGATAGAGACATCTATTAATACACTTTACGCCTTTAGGCCGTCTGCTTGTGTTTACATGCGTTAAAGCTAGATAGGTCGTACGGCCTAAGAGAGGTCAGGGATCTTGAAAAAGATCCCTTACCTAAGCGAGGTTACAGCTATTTACACCGTCGTGACCTGTCGTGTTTAGGTTAGATTTAGAGTATAGGTAGCGGCCTAAACGTAGGGTGTAATTGATTATGTCAAAGGGTGGACCATGATTCCATTAAAATATCCGTATAGAAAATGGTGCTGTATTGTTTTGTGGAAGGTTGCAATTCGAAGAAATACTGCAAGAAAGATGAAAAAAGTGACTCCAGCTTGCAGTTTTACGGGTATGTAAAAGTTATACTTTCTAACCTAAACATTATACATAAATTGTATAAGTACAGGACAATGCGCATTATTATAGTTATAATACAGCTTTCCATGAAAATAGAATTAAAAATAAGTAAGATATGTATATATACTTATGCAAAATATACAATCATTCTTCCGTTCTTTATTTTGTCCTCACTGCAATAAATCATCATTTTCTTATGTACAGATTTCCAAGCTGTCACGAAATACATGAGAAATGGGTCAAGGCAATGTCTTTGAATAATCAAGAAATTACTCAATAGCCAAAAATCAGCAGAATCTGGAATTTGCATTTTTCCTTGGACTGTTTTGAACAAATTGGATTGTGTTTTACTCGTTTAAAAAAAAATCTATACCAAATATATTTCCACGCGCTCAAAATTAAAATCAAAGGTATGAAAGTAATAATTTGCATCGTACCTATTACATGTTATAAAAATTAACAAAATGTTTGCATAATACACGTAAATGTAATTAATTGTAATTAATTTCTTGTATGTTTACAGCTTGGAAATATCCACACAGAAAGTTGTAAAAATTTTGAAAAAAATGTTAATGAATGCATATTGCGAACTCCAAAGAAATTAGTTCGCGCACAAAATCAAAATCAAAGGTATGAAAGTAATAATTCGCATCGTACCTATTACATGTTATAAAAATTAACAAAATGTTTGCATAATACACGTAAATGTAATTAATTGTAATTAATTTCTTGTATGTTTACAGCTTGGAAATATCCACACAGAAAGTTGTGAAAACTTTGAAAAAAATGTTAATGAATGCATATTGCAAACTCCAAAGAAATTAGTTCGCGCACAAAATCAAAATCAAAGGTATGAAAGTAATAATTTGCATCGTACCTATTACATGTTATAAAAATTAAAAAATGTTTGCATAATACACGTAAATGTAATTAATTGTAATTAATTTCTTGTATGTTTACAGCTTGGAAATATCCACAGAAAATTGTGAAAATTTTGAAAAAAATGTCAATGAACGGATATTGCAAACTCCAAAGAAATTAGTTCGCGCTCAAAATGAAAATCAAAATTATGAAAGTAATAATTTGCATCGTACCGATTACATGTTATAAAAAATAACAAAATGTTTGCATGATATACTTACGTAAATGTAATTAATTGTAATTAATTTCTTGTAAGTTTACACCTTGGAAATATCCACAGAAAGTTGTTCAAATTTTGAAAAAAATGTCAATGAACGCATATTGAAAACTCCAAAGAAATTAGTTCACGCTCAAAATGAAAATCAAAGGTATGAAAGTAATAATTTGCATCGTATCTATTACATCCCACATAGACAAAAAGATATCTTTTAAATTTCTAAAAGTGTGCTCATTTCTGTGTATCTTGCTCCTTTTTTAATTTTGTACCAACCATCTTTGTGAATAATTTTAACAATAACTTTTCTTCCAATATGGTTAATAGAGCAAAATACAAAATTGGTGTTACAGATAGATATACTATACTTTCTTCGAAACTCATATCATCTTTAAAGTTTTGAAAATAAGATTGTTGATTTTTGCACACTCCATCTTTGCAATCCAAACCTGAAAAGAATTATAATGAAGTAAATCATAAATTGTGTCATTAACATAAAATTACATAGTAATTCTTATTACTTTCTTAGAATTACATAGTATTTCTTATTACTTTAGTAAAATTACATAGTAATTCTTGTAGTAATTCTTATTACACTTTAAATGAATATTACACAATTTTGCCACAACAAGGATCTTTTGCAAGACAAACTACATTTTGAAGTATATTTGGTAGACAACATCTTGCATTCTGTACTGCTATATGCTGAAAAAAGATAGTTGACCATTGAACAAATTTATGTAAGGAATCAGATGGAAGAGTTTTTTTTGTAAAATGTGTAGAAATCTAAGTCAATAAAAATTGTTTAGTACTTCATGTAGAACATACTGTACCATAACTGAAATAAATTTTCAGGTTTATTTCTTTTTATATATGTAATAGTACAATATTTGCATTTTTAATAGAACAAATAATTTGACACTTAATATATCCATTGAAATTTTTAATATCTTACAAATATACTACAGCAAACTTACCAAAGACCAATAGGTGCAACACCTAAAATGGTTATTATAGTACTTCTTGATTTATTCATAAAACTGAATAGATATACAAGAAGTAAAACGTTAATACCAAATAATTCCAGAATCAATATCGAGCACACTGTAAAAGAAAATAAATAAATGTAAAAAGATAAAATATATAATATATACTAGTTAATATTGGACATAATTTAGAAAAAAACTTACGTATCTCTATTCTATAATATAGACGAATATCAAGAATAACATCCATGATGTAGAGCGCTAAAGTAATTAGCAATACACCTATTGTAAATATCAGAAAATCAAAAGCGAACATTGTACCCCAGTATGATAGAGAAGTGACACCCGTCATACGTTGGAGTTGCTTAACTTCCGTTGTGGTTTCTTGAAAAGGATGCATTACAAAAAGTGACATAGTAGGAAAGAAAAACATGCAGAATAGCAAAACACGCGACATCAAATCTGCTTTGGGCAATTGTATTTGAGTTGAAAATATCGTATTCGGTAATTGTTGCCTGGACGCATGAATACTGGAGTATTCATCGCCAGCAATAGCTTTAATAAACGAATTACTTAAGAGATTCACTGCTAATGGCACGCTGTGAATTGCTATGCTGGAATAAAAACCATTAGCCTATGTGTTATTTTCAGTGATATTAAATTCGGCGGATACGATGAGATTGTTTCGGTATTCCGCAAAATTCTTCATAGAAGAATTCAGAACAGCTAAAAGAAATAATATATTAAAAAATTATCATTCAGATAAATCTATTACCATGCTTGACACAAAATTATATAATAATATGATACACTATCGCTTGTAACACTTATATCTGACGCTACACGCTCTGCTTCGCCCACATTCTGAACAATATCTCTATATTTCTGAACAATTGGTTCGTTGTTTGATGACTATAAAGCTTTGGGATATCAAGCTTTAATGGAACAATATCAGTAGAATCGGTTGATAAACTGTAATCCAAGGTCATTAGAAGAACCGAAAAGATAAGAATTAACTGAAAATATTAATATAGATAAATAATCTTTGTATTAAGAGAGAG